CGCCCCTCCGGGTCCCCAAGCGAGGCTTAGGATTACAGTGGCGTGAAAGCCCAACGCGCCCCCGGGCCTCAATTTGTGATTTCTTTAGATGGGTTATTTTTAGGATTTCTATATATTTTTTTCTCTTAACTGATAAATTTGCTCTTTTCAAAAACAAAAATTCTAGCACTCTGGGAGGCCGAGGCGGGCGGATTGCTCGAGGTCAGGAGTTCGAAACCAGCCTGAGCAAGAGGCCGAGAACCCTCGTTCTTGTCTTTACTATAAAAGTAGAAAAAGAAAAAGAATTAGGATGTGTGCCAAAATAATATACGTAGCTAGTATAGTGTATATATATATATATAAAAATTTTTAGGCCGGGCATTTGTGGTGGGTTGGCATGCCTTGTCAGTCCCAAGCCTCTCGGGAGGCTGGCCAGAAGGATTGCCTTCGAGCGCAGGAAGTTCGAGGCGCTTTTGGCTGGGTTGAGCGAGGGCGTGACGCGCCGCACGCGCAAACTTCCAGCTCATAGGCCTGGGCCAAAAACCAGCGAGAGTCTGTTAGTCTGTCTCAAAAAAACAAAAATTAAGGTTTAATAAATTGTTCAAGGTTGAGAGGATGAAGAATTTCCTAACTCATCCCAATAAGAGAAATATTATATATATATGTGTGAACTAGAACCCAAACTAAAGAGCAATCTTTTTTCTAAACACAAGCTTGAAAAATCAACTAAAAATAAATGAGTAAATATGATTTGACAACACATTAAAAGAACAATTACGACCAAGTAATATTTATCATAGAATCCAAGGATGGTTCATTAAAAAGAAACACATTAAACAGACATCATGTTGAATAGACATTTCTGCAAAGAAGATACATAAATGGCGAAGAAACATATGAAAAGATGCTCAACATCATTAATCATCACTAGAGAAATGCAAAGCAAAACCACATGAGTTCTCACCTCACACCCATCAGGATTTCTACTATGGAAGAACAGAAAAGTGCTGGTGAGGATGGG